CCTGACCCCTTCCCAGAGACTGGGGTGGACACCTGACCCCTTCCCAGACACTGGGATGGATGCCTGACCCCTTCCCAGACATTGGGATGATGCCTGACCCCAAGAGCGCAGAGTGGAGATAACAGAAGGGGCAGAAATGGCATGACAGTGCCCACCTCTCCTCTTGGCCAGCACCAGGCTGCTGCCCCAGCCTGATGATGCTTTCACAGCTCTGACCCATCCCCAGTTTTACACACAGCTGGGACAGGGAAAGGAGCCCCCAGGCCCCATTTTGCTGCCCAGCCCCTGGCACATCTCCTCACCGGCCAGACTGGGCTGCAGGCTGGAGGCTGCAGGTTCCAGCAGAGACATGAGGACGCTGGGTGCAGCTGCTGGGATATCAGAGCTCAGCAGCCTCCAAATGACTGGACTGGAGGCTGCCACGTGAGTCACTGCCAGCTCTGCTCACACATGGTCTCGAATCTGCAGCCCCCTCCACTGCCTGGGCAGCAGGCAGCCCTGGGCACAGGGAAGGAAGGGAGGGGGATCCAGAGTCACACAGCAGGAACACTTTAATGACCTGTCCAGCTCTTGCAAGAGCCTGCTGGAACAACATTGTCCTGTTCTGCACCAGCAGCCCAGAGACCTGTCCCAAAAATAACCCCACAGCTGGCCAGAGTCCCTCAGGGCCACAGGCAGGAGCAGGGGGCAGGGTGGCTCTGTGCCAGCATCCCCTGTGACAGGACCCTGGGCTACTGCAGCGGGCAGCTCACAGGCGAGTGGCAGCCACAGTCTTTTGGGAGGGGGCTGCACCGAGCCCTGGGGTGCTGCCTGGTGGCGTGGCTGAGGTGTCCCGTGGGGCAGAGCCAGGTTTTGTGCCCTGCAGTGTTTCTCTTCCCTTTAGCAGCTCCACGGCTGCTTTCTCCACTTCGTCCATCTCCAGCTGGCTGCTGGCCGCCATCTCGTCCCTGGTCACTGCTAGGAATGACGAGTCATGGGCCAGAGCCCCAAGGCCTCCGGAGATCAGAGCCTGTCCAGAAGAGGAGGGCACACTCTGGGTGCTCAGCCTCAGAGGTGCCCTGGCTGCAGGCACCCACCCTCTTCTCCTCCCTCCTGCCCTCTGTGCTGGCACATACCTGCTGCTCACCCTGGTAGCTAAGTTTTACCCCCCAACCTCCCATTGTGCCATAAGCATGCAATTTCCTGCCTGGAATTTCCTGCCATCCCTGCTGTCCCCTCTGCCAGGCTGTGCCCTGGCCTTACCTCCTGAATGAGGAAGGTGATGGCTGGGGTGGAGGATGTTCTTGGCTCATGGGTTTCTTCCTGCTGGAACCTTGAGCTGGGTGCTGTTCCTGTCACAGGGCCATCCTCTGCGGGCAGCTGGGTGAGAGTAGCACAGAGCTGCAGCCTGGGCTGGGACACTGCTCTCCCATGGGAACAGCTCTCCCATGTTAGCGTGGGGGCTGCAGGTTCTGTCCCCTGTCCAGTGCCTGGACTGGCAGTGCCACCCTGCTGGAGCACCCCCAAAATGGCACCAGCAGGGTCATGTGAACGGAGAGCTGGTACCAGCCCTGCACGAGGCACTGTGGCCAGCAAAGAGCAGCAAGGGCAGCATGGGGGCAAATCTGATGCAGCCCTTCCACCTGCCCTGGCTCTGCAGGCAGATGGGGAGCCAGAGGGACGTGCTTCTGGCTGGTCCAGCCTCGAGGGGCTCCCCATGACTGCGACAGCAGTGGGATGGGAGCCCAGCTCCACCTCCATCTCCAGGCTGCTCCAAGAGAAAAGCTCTAGCAGGGCTGCATTGACACAATGAGCCCTGGAGTGGCTCCTTCCCAGCACAGCTGTGGCACCTTTTCCAGGACAGGAGGGAGGCTCAGCCGTGTCCCCATCACCTGTCCCCTCTGCACACACACTGCCCCTTTTACCTGCTGGAGGAGCAGTGGCCCTGGTGATGAGGGACCCCCAGAAGGGGCCCTTCGCCTCCTGCTCAGCCTCTCCATGGGGATGGGGCGGCTCTGCTCTGTGGGAGGGAAAGGTGGGGACATCAGATGGGTACCAGAATGAGGACACCACTGCCGAACAGAGCTGGGAACGGGCTCATGAGACTGGGAGAAACAAAGGATTTAGGAGTTCAGCAGCACCCAAAGTCCCTGTTTGAGGAAACGAACATGGTCTTGTGGCCCTGCTTCCCTGGGATGGCCAGTGTTCCCCCAGCCTGGCGCAGTGTCTCCATGCTTCATCTCCTCAGAGGATAAAAGGAGGGAGAAAGGTCTCCTGGAGCTCTCCAGACAGGTCCTGCTGTGCTCAGTGCTCTCAGCAAATCTCCAGCTTGTTTGGGGCTGCATTTCCTCCTCCCAGCCATCAGACCCTTCCCCCTGCCCTGGCCCTGGGCGGGTCCCAGTCCCCCAGAGCAATGAAGCTGAGACTCACCCCATGCTGGAGGCCTGCGTGCTGCTGGTACCGTTTTCCTGAGCACCTCATCCTCATACTGCACCCTGGCAAGGGCAGGCAGGTGGATCAGCCCGGGTGGGGACCACTCACTGAGCCCAGCTCCACCCGGGGGTGCAGCCCTCCCCACCTCCCCCACCCTGGGGACAGACCTGTAGGGACAACTGCAATGGATGAACAGGGTGCAGACCTCAAGAAGTAGGGGTACATCCTCACACTGGTAATCTTTGTCCCTTCCACCCATGCCCAGGCATGTGCTGGTGGCCCCAACTGGGCCTTGGCCCTCAGAGAGTAGCATGTGAGGGAGAGGGATGGTTCCTGCAGTCCCTGGAGCCCTGCTGCCCACCTCCATCCTCATGGCACTGAGATGAAGGAGCAATGGGATGGGAGTCCCTGGGGTGCAGCCAGCTGCCAGCACAGCCCTGGGATGGGCAGTGGCACTGCCAGAACAGCCTGGGGCAGGCAGTGGTACTTCCAGGACAGCTCCAGGCAGGCAGTGGTGCTGCCAGGGCAGCCCAGGACAGACATTGGCACGGCACTGCCCCTCCCTGCCTGCACACCCAGGCTCAGCCCCCTTACCCCTCCAGCCAGAAGCTGCTGTTGGCATTGTTGATGTTGGTGTTGCCTTCCTGGGGGAAGTCATCAAGGAACACAGGAGAGTCGAGGTCCTCGCTGCCCACCTCGGTGAACTGCAGGGGCCTCTGGCTGGCCACCTGGGGCTGCAGAGGGCTGCTGGGCTCCATGAAACTGTCCACCTGGCCAAACAGGCCACCTGTCCTCTGCAACCAACAGGGAGGGCATCAGGGTCAGCCTGGACCTCCGGGGCCATTCCCATGTCTGGAGCCATTCCCAGATTGCTCTGCTCAGCCCTTGCAGAACACACGGTCCCAAAACCCCGTTGCCCAGGTGGGAAAACTGAGGCACCAAAGGCTGCTGACCATGCAGCAGCACTCGGATAAGCCAGGCCATGACAAACCATGTCACCTCTGTGGGACAGTCCAAGCTGATGGCACCACTGGACACAGCAGGAGGGGCAATCCTGCAACCCCACATCTGCCCAGGGAGCGGGGAGTGAATCAGTCCCTGTGGCACCAGAGCTGTCCTSCCTYAGCCTGGYAGAAGGTGTGAGTGGGAACYTSYAGATTCAGAGGTAAAATCYAGCACRGCCCTGCCAGGCACATGGGCYRSMTCCTTTCASAGAGGGGAAACTGAGGCAGAGAGCAGTTTGCTCAAGGTGACACAACCACGATGTGCTGATGCTCACAGAAAGGAAAGAAGTGCTGATCATCCTTGTGGTCCTCACCCAGTGCTAGCAGCCCAGCTGACCCACCATCACCACCACTTTCAAATCAGGGATGGGTGGCACCACCACCCCATGTAGTGCCCTGAGGGCTGAACTCACTCTGTAGATCCCTTCCTCCATGGCAGCCTCCACCATGGCTCTTTCCAGCTCCTCCTCTGCTGTCAAGTCCCCAGAAATGGCCCGATGGATTTCAGGAGCAGCTTCTTCTTCGATGCTCCTCAGCCCAGCCTGGAAGGACAGGAAGGCAGGGCTGATGTGGCCATGCCCCACCACCCCTCTCACCTTGGTCTTTGGAGACGGAAACATGGATGAGGCACACTCACCTTGCCAGGTGTCCCAGCAGGGACAGCCCATGGGTCACACCCTGCAGCTGGCTGCCTCTGTGCTTGGTGACACGTGTGCCTCTGTGCTTGGTGACACGTGTGCCTCTGTGCTTGGTGACACGTGTGCCTCTGTGCTTGGTGATGCTGCCCCTGAGCTCATGCTGTCCCCCAGTGTCCCCCGGTTTCTGGGCTCATGCTGAACCCCAGTGTCCCCCAGTTTCTGGGCTCATGCTGACCCACAAGAGGGAGTGCCAAGGGCAGCCTGATGAAGGGTGGGACTGGTGACAGCCATGGGCAGGCTGGGTCTCTGTCCCCGCTCTGGGACCTGGCTCTTTTCCTTGCTTTGCACCTTTGGGGCCAGATCTTTTATCTCTACAGGTGATTTCCTCCCTGTAAAGTCAGGAGAGGCCAGGGACATCCCAGCCTTCTGGCCAGGCACACAAATCCTCCCCACACCCCTCAGGTGTGCTGTGCAGGCTTCTCTGACTGCAGTGGTTCCACCCAAAGTCAGCCACACTGACCCCCCCTCTACTTGATGCTCTGTAAGGCTGAGAGAACACCAAGAACTCCAGGCACATGGAATTATCCAGACACTCGCCAAGGGGAGAAGAGGGACAAGGCCCTGGGATTGAAGCAGAGCGGGTGGGAAGGGCTGGAGTGAGCAGCATTTGGCACAGACAGTGCTCTGTGGGGAGTTCCAGGGATTAAAACCACTTGGTGAGGCAGCAGATCCTACCAGGCCCTCTCCACAGCTAAAGTCAGTGGAGCGAGAGTCAAAATCCTCCTTTGCTATAACTCACCTGCACCCTGCACACTAAAGTCATCCTCAGCAGTGGGCACTGATGGCACTGAKGTCACATTCAGCAGCAGGTGCTCATGGCACCAAGGTCACACTCAGCACTGAGGTCACATTCAGCAGCGGGTGCTCATGGCACCAAGGTCACACTCAGCA